CCGGGTGGTGGAGATCCAGTCGCAGATGTCCGAGCGGGCTGTGGAGCTGCTGGGGTTACCTGGGGACCGGCCGTGCCTCCTCCTGGACGTGGGGTGAGTGGGGCCCTGCCCTGCGTTGTGGTACACAGGGCATCTGAGGCTTCAGCCGAGCGCTGGGCAGGGGCGAGCGGCATCCAGGCCCCGCAGCACCGGCATCTCTCTGTTGTGGGCTGGAGGAGAGCAACAGGCTGCTGTAATGTTATGGCTGGGGTCACCCTCAGACCAGGACCGTGATTCCTGCGCTTCCCCCCCTTTCTCCCTGCAGCTGTGGCTCTGGTCTGAGCGGGGATTACATCTCCGAGGAGGGTCACTACTGGATTGGCATGGACATCAGCCCTGCCATGCTGGGTGAGCTGGCCCTCCTCCCCCGCCACCCTTGCCTCACCTCAGAGCGGGTTGCCTGAGCTGTGCTCTGTTTTGTGCAGATGTGGCCGTGGAGAGGGAGGTGGAAGGAGACCTTCTCCTTGCAGACGTGGGTCATGGTATTCCCTTTAGGCCTGGCATGTTTGACGGCTGTATCAGGTGAGTTTGTGTACGTAAGTGAGCTCTCTTGGTTCTCCGCATAACTGCATCATCTGTACAGTACACGTGGTCTGCGTGTGGTGCATAACAGATGAGCACAACTGTCTTTATCAGTCACTCTCTTTCCTCCGTGCAACTTGACTCCAGTGCTCTGCGATAAGCTGCTGAAATTCTAGATGGTAGAAGCAGTTTCTGACAGCTGCTTCCCAAATGATGCTTGTCTTTTTTTTGTGATGGTGAGCGAGGAAGTTTATTGAAGTAAATAAAATAAAATTGGGGATATTGTCAGGAGGGTTGGGACCTGCTCCAAGGAGGAAAACAAAGCATGTCTGTACCATTGCTCAGCTGCAAGGGCAGTCCATGGATCAAAGGTTTGATAGTTGATTTGGGGATGAAGGGCTAGGTGAAGGAGACAGAAACGTTTTTCTGCTTAGAGAATACCTCAGAAAGGTGTTGGGAAGGAGCAGGGACTGTCTGTTGCTGATCCAAACGCTCTGTTTGGGATTGTTCATTGGCAAAACCTGCGTGACTATGCAAGCGCCACAGCTAAGCACTTGAATTATTTGAGCTCCTGGCCTAAAGAAGATGCTTGGTGATTCCTTTGTGCTTGAATAACTACTGCAACTTGTTGGGTTTTGGCATAGTGAGGCTCCAGAGGAGTTCATGTAACTGCAAAACAGAAGGCAAAACTACATGGAGAAAATCAAATAGTTTCCGTGAAGCCTAGCATGTGCTTAGTGCTGGAAGTCAGCTTAAAGGGACATGACAGGCTCTGAGAAAGAGTCGATGGCTCAGTGTCCCAGATGTCTTGTTTTCTTTCTCAGTATTTCCGCAGTGCAGTGGCTTTGTAATGCTGATAAGAAATCACACAGCCCTCCAAAACGCCTTTATCGATTCTTCTCAACTCTTTATACTGCCTTGGTAAGTGTCATGCTCTCCTAGTCAGGCCTCTGCCTACTTTTACATCCTCGCTGGTGCATTTAGCAAGATCTTTTAAGTCAGGTATTTTAAGTAAATGCTGCTTGGAAACAGGAAAACTGGCAGGATCGCCCATTTCCTATCTCTTTGCCTGCCTGCATGATGTCTCATGCTTCCCTGATCCCTGCTGTTACCCCTGTGAGTTGCTCTGATGTGGAGGAGCTGGCTCTGCAGCCTGAGCAGCTCTCCCGGGAAAGTTCTCCAGGAGGCTTTGGGGAGGTGCGCGCTAGTGTCTGGGCTGGGAGTTGGGTGACTAGAGGGGTTGTCTGCACTGAGACAGGTTTGTGATGAACTTTATTTCCTGTAGGCCCGAGGAGCCCGAGCTGTCCTGCAGCTGTATCCCGAGAACTCAGAACAGGTACAGGACATCAGTCAGTGGGGAAGAGGTACAGGCAGAGCCAGGCAGAGAAGTTGTGTGCTGTTTGTGGCTCTGAATGCTTCGTGTTTCTCCACGTGGGGTCTGTGTCTCTGTCCTTCCTGACATCTAAAGCTCTTCAAGAGCCAAAAAAAAAAAAACTGTAAGGAGAATGCCCTATGCAATTTCTTGTTGCTTCACAGATTGTCTTGGGCTGAGCCTTAAAATCAAAGAAATTGGCAGGACACGATCTGAATCTGCTGTCCTGGATTTTCCCATGTGACTGGGTTTGAAGACTGGCCTGTAGTCATCAGCACTGTACTGGAAAATCCAGCCCAGTATCCCTCTCCAAGAGAGTCTGCTGCACCAGTTAACCTAGCCTAGACTGAGGAGCAGGGAGAACCAAATAAAGGCAGCAGGCTGGTGTCTGCAGAACTGGGAGCTTAGTGCAGAGTTAACAGGAGCAGGAACAACCCATCTTTGGCATGCTCAGTTAGCTGTGGTCTCTTGGGCATTGCTGGTGGATGACTGCTAAATGACTTTTGCACGTGCTTCTTTTTCTAGCTGGAGCTTATCACGGCCCAGGCCATGAGAGCTGGCTTTACTGGGGGAATGGTGGTAGATTACCCCAACAGTGCCAAAGCCAAAAAGTAAGTCCTATGTCTCTGTGTATACATGTATTTGAGGTAAGGCCTGGGTTTAACAGAGGTTTGGTTTTTTTTTTCCCCCCAAGCTGTTCTCCCATGATACAGTCCTGGACAGAGGTTACAGCTTAGGTCTGACTCTTGTTATAAACAATCTCAGTCTTGCTTGGGAACTGGGAATCACATGCTGAATCCCAGCTTCATGCTCCTTATTCTTGTTTTTTCAGGTTCTTCCTTTGTCTCTTTGTTGGGGCATCTGGCACATTACCAAAGGTGAGGAGCTATGTGAGGCAGCAGAGTTGCCTTCCTGGCCGCTGTGTGATGTGGAAGAGCTGTGGGTGCGAGTGGGAGCCAGGCAGCTCTGCGCATGCAGATGTGACTTCATTTATACATTTGCCATCAATCTTGCCAACCCCTGCTCTCCCTGAGATCTGGCTTCTTTGCCACAATTTCTGGAAGACCAGTTTGTTCCTGCTCCAGTCCTTCCCCTTGCAGAGCCCTGGGTTCCCCTTAATATAGATGGCGTGACTGTTAGCTCTGCCTGCTCCTGAGGAGAGCAAAACTTCCCAATTTTGCTTTTCAGGGCCTTGGTACTGAGTGTGCTGATGGAGAAGAGATACACCAGGCAAAGTTCACCAATGAGAGGTATCGTGTAGAAATTCTCCCCAAGCAAGGAGTGTGGGGGGTATAAGGGCTGGGTTTTGCTGACTGAGGACCACAGCGCTACCATGTGTGAAGTGACGGAAGGGAAGGGACTGGGAGGACCCTTGGCAGCCCAGATGGGCACTGCTTTACCTTATCGAAGGGCCCCAGACACAAGGAATGGAACGGGTTAGTTTGCAGGGCTTTGCTGTGGTGTCATAGGGCTGTTGTTGATGCTTGCCCTAGAGCTGCATCTAAGCTTTGAGGTGTGCTTTCTGTCTGGCGCTTGGCTCTCCAGCCCAGCGCTGCAGTGTAGGCCAGTGGTCGTGGGAGGGGGAATGTTTACAGTGCTGGTGATACCAAGCATGGCTTTTTTTTGTTGGGGAGGCAGGCTGCTCTGCCTGAAGCCTGGTGTTCCCTTTCTTCTGCTGTCAAATTCTTTGCTTAGCTTTGCTTAGCTGTGGCCTGGGGGGTTTCTCCTGTTGGCCAGGTCTCCGCCCATGGTAGTGGTGCAGGGAGGAGTCCCTCTTGCAGCCAGTGGGAGAGACAGAGAACAAAAAACAGAGGAAAATCGTCGTGGCTACCAGGATCTTGTGGCTGCCATGTTTTCCTGCCTCTTACACTGCTCTTCTCTGCTCACTTGGTCCAGGGGGTACCTGGTCTTGGAGGGCAATAGCAGAACTGGCAACGTGTTGGGAAGCCAGAGGCCTTGTTTGTTTTGCTTACAGTAGAGCAGACAAGGGGAAAGAGGTTGTGCTTAAGCCCATATTCCCCCAAGATCCCAGAGCCAAGCGTGCTGCTGGTGTGTATTAGATATGGCACAGGGGAGTGCTGGCCTGCTGCAGTCCATGGAGGGCAGGAATCCCTTGGCTCAGAGCTGGGGCTGGAAGTAGCCTTCTCCCCCAGTGTACCTGGAGTTGGACTGTTTGGCTACCTGGCTAAGTGCTGGCTGAGCCTCTTTCCTCCCAGGGGTGGTGGGAGGGGTACTTGCTGGTTTTATGAGGCAGAGGGCATCCCTGTTCTGGGTGGCAATCCTCTGGGGCAGAAAACTGAGCCCCGGCATCTCAGTTCCTGTCCAGCTGCTGTCTGCTTTCTCTGTAGGACACGGTTCAGAAATGCCAAGGGCAAGTCTGTGAAGAAAAGCCGGGACTGGATCCTTGAGAAGAAGGAGCGTAGACGACGACAGGGCAAGTAAGTTCAGCTGGGTCCTGCCTCAGCTGAGGCTGACTGCTGGTCTGGCCTGCTGTCACCCATTCAAACTCCTGCCACAAACCCGCTTCCCTTCCCCTCCCCTAATGACCTGTGGATTGTGCTTAGTTGCTCTCTGCTTTTCTCCACAGGGAAGTGCGAGCAGACACAAAATACACAGGTCGAAAGCGCCGCCCTCGCTTCTGAATTGCTCTGGACACTGCTGGCTTTGAAGATGATGTATTGGTCTCTCCAGTGAGCCTCCTGTGGATGGCACAGACGGGCACCCCAGGCCTGGGACTTGCTGGGACAAGTCATTGTGGCTCTTTGTGGGTCACTGTGGGTCAAGGTGTAAACGGGCTCAGGTGCTGCCCAACAGCCAGCTACAAAGCTTCCATCTCTGTTCTGCTGGTGAAGACAGTGTTCTGGCCACTTGGTGTCTGCAGTGCCATTGCTTATCTTCCTGAGAGTGCAGTGAGCCATCTGGAGCTCCAGGTGAGCCAGAACATGATATCCAGCCTCCTCACTAAACAGTCAAAGAAATGTTGCTGGTCTCCTGTGTCCTGCCCTCAGTGCAGGGGAGTACTGAGGTGGGAATATAGCACCTAGTTCCCTGCCAGCTTCCCCTCTGCCTGCAGGCAGGGAGTCAGGCAGTGTAAAGGCTTGTGTCCCATGAGGGCAAATCTTCCTCCTGGCAGAAGTGTTATTTCTGTAGCGATTGCTCCTGTGGGTGCTTTGCATCAGGCCCACCCAGTATGCTGTAGTGCGTCCAGGGTGCTGGGACTGTCCACACCCCAGCCCTTTGCTCCCCATTACCTCTTCTCTTCCCCTGAAACAGAGAGGTGCCAGCCAGAGCTTTACAGTTACAAATGTTTATTCTACATAAAAATTCCACAAAATGGGAAGCTGTTTTGCACCCAAAGCTTTGGGAGAAGAAAGGGAGGCTAGCAGGGAGGGAAAGAGTGAAGGAGAAAAGAGGCAACATACAGTGTCATCCAGCCCAGTGAGACAGAGCAAGCCAGGGTCAAGATCCACATAGAAAACAAGGACACTTAGCTCACAGTACAGCAACAGTACAACTCCACGGGGGGCTTGGAAAGCCTTCAAGTACATTAATTACAAAAAAAAACCCCAATCCCCAGTTCGAGTGCAAGCTGTGCGTGCCTCACACTGCTTGTGGAATACTGCATCGACACACTCCTGGTGCTGGGAGGGCAGGTGGCACTTGGAACAGAGGTGGCGTAACCCAAAGGAAAAGCGGTCTGAGGTTGGGGGCTGGAAAGAAAAAGTGAAATGTCTCTCCAAAGCACAACCACACTGTTGGCGATTTGGTCTGTACATGCAACGACGGGTAGGTACAAAGGAACTGACAGCGGCTTCCCGTAGTGCAGGGGTAATTATTGCACCAAAACACCCTCCCCTCACCGTGAGGACAGTGTGAGCCTGCCTGTGGGGCAGCAATGGCAGCCTGCTCAGTGTTCCTTGTGTCAGAGCCTGGCACCACCGCTGCCTGCAGGATCCCAGCAAAGTGCCAGTGGCAGAATTGCTGACTGTGGTCTCACCTGGCTCCTGTTGCTGGGGGGCTGCTGGCAGTGGTGTTACCAACAAGGAAGGAACAAGTGCCAGAATCCCCCCAGTACTGTTCTTGGCCTGGAGCCTTGACGGGGTGGGCCACAGCCCTGATGTCATCTGAGCTTGTGCCACAAAAGCCGCTGCTTGGAAGAAAAAAAAGTCACCTTGTGCTAGCAGTGGGCATCGCTGCAGGGTGAGAGCCTGAGAGGAGCTTTTTTGGCTGCCTGCTCAGGGGCAGCCCTGCTAGCAGTGTTATTGCTTCCTGGAGGAGGGGGCCCAGCGCTCTTGCTGGCTCAGCAGAGCAGAGCACAGACTGG